CTCCTGGGCCTGTCTTCAGGCAATCTGGATTTAGTATCATTCTTCCAGTAGATTCAAGAGTTATGAATATAGGTTTCTCTTGACAAAGAAAGTAGGAAAATTGTGGCCATTACTTTGGCAACTCAGATGAAAGATCCTACTTACAGCTGATTATTTAAATGTTGATTAAAATATTTATCCTTACTTAGATAATTCTCTTCATTTTCCATTTTATTCAACTTGTTGATGTTTGGCTGGGTATTTTTGACTTTTTCAATAGTACCCTTATCATCTTGTCCTTTTTTAGGGGCTTATTTTATCAGTTTTACTTAGGCATCTAGTTTTCAGTTTCCTTAAATCTCAGCTTTCATTAATCAGAATTAAGAATTTAAGGGAGAGGGCATATGGTAGAATTGAGACCAGGTGGTGATCTTTATCAAAAATTAAAGGCATAAAAGGGCAGAACAATTACAGCAGTAGGTTCTGGTATGCAAAAGCCTAACTTGTCAGAGAGAAATGAACATATGTGACTACTTCTACACCTTATACTACTTATGTGTCAGATTTTTCTCTTTTATTCTTTTTCTTTTTATATTTTTTATGCCAGATTTTTCTCATGCAGACAAGCTCTTTTGGCTTATAAAACATCTAGATGCTTTGAATCAATACCTTGTCTTCCCTGGGTACTCAGTGAGTATGTGTAGAATGAATTAGGGAAAGTTCCCTTACCTCATAAATTATTTATATATCTGTGGGTGTGATTATGGGAGTTCTACTGGTACATTTTTGAGAAGTGCTGTTCACAAGAAGATCAGGATGAAGGGTCACCTAAAAAAATGCAACAGAAATTAAAAAAGATCTCGGAAGTTATAATTAAAAACAGGGAAACAGGAAGGATGCCTAGTACTTAGTAGATATTCAGAAATTATGTGTTTAACAAATGAAGGAATGAAAAACACTAAAATTTGTGGCATTAGAGAGAATCATAATTGGGGACCACAGATATGTATAATTAGTGAGAAAGTGGAATATAGTATAATTATGATATTGTTGATAACTTACTCTAATAGGAATGGGTTAGAAAGTGGGGTCAGTAAGTCACTATAATTTCAGGAAAACTGCTGATAAATGTTAATGCAAGTGCATGTTAAAAGTATCTTGTGTTTATAGGGCCTCCCTGGTGGCGCAGGCTGTTAAGTGCAGCACTGTGAAGCTGTTCGTGCAGCACTGTGAAGCTGTTCGCAGCCTCTGTAGTGCCAGTTTGATCCCTGCGGGCCTCGGAGCAACCCACGCGGCTAGCAGACCTCTCCCGTCTCTCCTGCTGCTCCCCTCAGCAGTGTATTTCCCCAGTCTGCCTGTTCAGTTCCCCGCTCTGTCTCTGGTGAATCCTCTCACCCTCCTGCGCATCTGGCCTGTTCCTTGGCTCTTGTATAAATAAAATAAATCTTTTTTTAAAAAAAAAGTATTTACAGCTATTACATTATAGTAAGCATAGAGATTGAGGAAATATTTGTTTACCTCAAACATCTAATTCAGCAAGGAAATCATGTAATTGATGAAGGAGTGAGTGAAAATATACTTAATATTTGTTAGTTAATTTCATCTTAATAATGTACAAAAACATCAGCCAATATTCATACTGGAACTACTCATTAAAACCCTGAGTTGGCTATTATTACGTGGATTTTGCAAAAGTAAAAATATTCTTGAGAATCAACTGACTATATTGAATTTGCAATAAAAATTGCATATCATTATTATTTGTTGATTTCACACTACAGAAATTCCTTATATCAATAGTAAAACTTACAATAAATTCATAACAACCTCACAGATACTTGTATGTATATACATAATAAGCTCTTGATGTATTTTGTTTTCAGTATTTTGTTTATTTTTACTAGCATGGCCCTGCTTGGAAGCTGCCTATAGAAAGTAATTCAGGAGTGAAGCAGCATCAAATGCTGATGAGCCATCAAGTGAGATGGATTAGAATTGTTCAGTGGATAAGGTACTATGGAGATGAGAGCTAACTTTGACAAGAAGTATTTTAGTGGAACTATGGGGAAGAAATGTCTGATTAGAGTGGTTTTAAGAGTGAATGAAAAGAGAGGCAATGGAGATAGTATTTCAAGTAATTTTGTTCTATAGGGAAACAGAAGTGTTTGCTGGAGAGGAAATAAGGGTGATGGAAAATTTAAAAAAAATGCTAATTTTGCACTTTACTTATATGCTTATGGGAACGACTGAGGGGAGAGGGAAATTATTGATTATGAAGCCATATCCTTGAGTACGCAAGAGAGAACAGGGATAGGTGTTCAAATAATCAGAGTGGCTTCAGAACCACTAACATTTTATCCATGTAACAGAAGGGAAGGCAGACTATAGGGATTTAGTTACAGATAGGTCAGTATATATATATATATTTTGTTAAGAGCTTGTTGAGACGTTCTTTGATATTCCATGAGATAGGGAGCAAGGTCACAAATTGATAGTGACTATGAGGCAGAGGAGTTGAAATATTCAGAAGGAAGGAAATAAAGTGCTTAATAATTATGAACAATTATAATTGGTTATTGCTCTGTAAAAGTAGTAAATTGGAAGAAAGAGGAGGCTTTTAAAATTTCAAGACAACTGTCTTGTGGTAATGATTTCACAATGTATCTGATATACCAAAACTTCACTTTGTACACTTTAATACATACAGTTTTTGATTTGTTAATCATACCTCATTGAAACTAGAAGAAAGGGAATGAACTTCAAAACAAGGCATTTTTGATGAAGGTCCATTATATGATTTGAAAACTTAAGGAACGGGGAAAATTCTGGTCAGGCAGAGAAGCACCGGGAATATCAAGAGCAACCACTGAAGGACATGAAATTCACTCAAACTAAAATGCTTATTTGTGAAAGAGTGAAAATAAATCTTTAAAAAAAGGATGAATTTATACAAAAAACAATGATAATTCTTGTTGACTTTCTACCCAAGTTGATACCCATAGAAAACCATTTTCGTGTGTCTTGTATATTAATTAAGGTTTTACATAATACTCTCTGTCGAGGAACTCTTCAAACAGAGTGAACAGATAAAAAAAATATGTTATAAAACCAGGAAAATTACTCATGTAATACCTAAGACTGGTCTTGGTAACTGGCTGGCTATTGCCCTTTTTTTCAGAAGCTTTCTAAAAATAGTCTTATAAAACACAAATTTGTGTTTGAAGCAGTTGCTCACTGGTTAAGGCAAGTTTAGCCCTCAGTGCATTTTAGGTCTGAGTAAATCAATGACTGTATTTTATATCTTTGTGTTTCTTAAGTACTGTTTAGTTAAAAATATGTACCTTGAAATTCTCCAAGTAGGTCTTCATGTTGGAACATTAAAGTTGAATCTTCCCACTAGTAAAAAAAAAAAAAAAAAAAAGGTAATTGTCACCTACACACAATGGGACTGTCACTGGTGATTTTTTTCAAGGCTATTTTGCCTTACAGGGCATGAAGACATGTATTTAAGATTCTGTAATATCACAGTATATATTAAGCATGTCTAAGGTTTTGTGTGGGCAATGTGGTTTGGAAAAAGGTGATGAATTTTAACTATCAGAGGTGACATTATGGAAGAGAGAGTCCTCTGGATTAAGAAAGTTAGTTTTCCAGTTCACTTACTGACTGCTTTCTGTGAGCTGGTTATTGTACTCAGTATTTTGTAATTTAATCTTACTACCTGTGAGGAAACTGAAGTTCAGAGAGAGTAACTGTTTAAGACTAGCTTCTTAATCAGCTAGTAAGTAGGTTTCAGACCCAGATCTAGCTGATAACCAACTCATGATCATATAGCAGCATGCTGGCTCTAGGAAGAGAAAGTAGAATGGGGAATGATTTTCTTATACAGGAAGTCGTAGGAATAAAGAAAAGTAGAGGTAAGAAAAAGTAGAGAGGGCCTCCCGGGTGGTGCAGGGGTTAGGACATAACCTATGAAGCAATCTGCAGCCTCTGCAGCATGAGTTTGATCTCCAGCTAGGGAGCTACCCACATGGCACAGCAGACCTCTCTTGACTCGCCCCCGCTGCTCCCCTCAGCAGTGTATTTCAGTCAGTCTGCCTGTTCTGTTCCTTACTCTGTGTCTGGTGAATCCACTCACCCCCTGCACTTCTGGCCTGTACCCCAGCTCTTGTATGCATAAATAAATAAATCTTTAAAAAAAAAAAGAAAAAGTAGAGAAAAGTGTGTGTGTGTGTGTGTGTGTGTGTGTGTGTGTGTGTGTGTAGTGGCAGCGGAGGGGAAAAGTGAGTAATTCAATGTGTGGGTGTCTGTATAGAGGAGGTGGAATATACAGTAGGAAATAAGATTGAAAATATAGAGGAACCAAGTAAGACATCAGTATAAAAAAAATAACAGTACAAAACACAACAAAGCAAAAACGGACAATTATAAATCAGAGACATCCTCAGGGGAGGAGGCGGGAGAGGGATCAGAGGGAGGGAGGGAGGAGCACAGGGGTCTGAGGTGATGGTGCACGGGTGCATTGGGGAAGGAAACTCTATGGGTCTACAACTGAGAGGGTGGGGGGAAGCAAATATTGTTTGAAAATGAACAATGATATAAAAAAATTAATATAACAAACAAATAAATATATAGATTATGAACACTTGATGGGTGTTTAAAAAGTCAGTTGAAGAATCTGTAGATTATTTTGTAGGAAGTCAATTTTAATTTTAAGTTAGTTTTTCTGACAAGAGAGAATCACATTTACTATGTGAACATTTATTGGCTAGCATTACATTCAGGACTCTTTTTTTCATAGGTGTGAATTTTTTCTGAAGATAGGGCTACGGAAAAAATGGTTTCTTAAAGTTAGGATTTGGGTGTAATTATAAATTTCAGATGGTAGTTTATTGAATTTATGTTTATGTTATAAAGTTATTTTGTGTTATGAAGTTAGGAATACAATTATAGAATAGTTTAATGTTAGTTCACAGTTTCTCTAAGACAGTAAGATAACATTTGAAAACCATGTTTTTCAGATACTGACCGAGCATTATCATTACTGGAAGAATACTGCAAAAAGTTAAGGAAACCAGAAGAGCAACAGTTGAAAAATGCTGTTAAGAAGGTGATGTGCATCTTTAAGAGCAGCTTATTCCAAGCTTTGCTAGGTATGTTTAAAAAGTTATTTAATAACTTAGTGGTCATTATCTGGCTTAATAGTTGAATACATCAGAGAAACTGATGTATTCTATTTGGGTCGCTAAATATTGAATTATTTGAGTATTTGAGTGGTATCACTACACATTTTCTTAAGGACACAGAAGAAAAAGCATTTGACCGTATCCATACTAAAGGGGATTCTACTTTTATAAAAAAAATAAGTAGTACATAAATAGGTAGTCATTGACAAAGAGGACATTGTGTATGTTGTATAATTTGTTGTGTGTTTGAACCAAATTCCATCCCTTATTGCTTTGATATTCAGGTAGTCAGTACTTTGAAACAATACTTCGCATGAATCTCAACTGAAGAAATAAAAGGGAATCAAAATGGATAGTAAAGTACAGTAACTATTATTGCAGAATGTGCTGTAATATTTACATGTGACTAGGAAACCAAATCATCTCTTTACAGATTAAAAACCTCATTTTGGAAAGGAAATAGGCTCCTCCTTTTGTAGTGCTTCATAAATGCCTAAAAAAACCACAACAAACCAAAAACCAAACAACCCAAGTACTTATGTGTATTATCTGGTATAATTTTTGAGGACAGAATTCTATCTGCACACCTTTGACTATTATTACAGTGCACAAAAGCATTTTATGAATGGGTCCTGTGATAACAGGGTGGAAGGTGGTAATCGAGGTAATGTTTTTAATTTTTAAAATATAACTTTATGTGATTATAAAAGTAATATATGTTCATTCTGTAAAACAAAAAAAAATGTGAGAGAAGAATATAAAATTCAGTGATAAATTGTTCTTGTGGTAAATATATGTTGCCTATGTAAGAATGTGGAAATGGTGAACTGTTTAGCTTTCTTCCTCTTTGCTTTCTACAGTTCCTGTATGCTTTGTTTTGGTTTTTCATTGACCACTAAATGACATTAGAGAAATATACTTCAATTAAAAGTAATAGTAACATTGTTCATTAACGTAACAGAGAAAGAAAAATGTCTAAAACAGCAATATGCTGGTAGCTGAATATTTACATGTTAGGCTTAGGGTGACATCTTGTGGTAATACTAAGGAAAAAAATTTGCCCTGTGGATTATTACAGTTCTATAATGGTTGTGTGAATTGGAATTCCATGGTACTTTGCAAAGTAATTGTTTCTTTCATTTCATATAGCTAAAACATTCAGATTTTCATGACACTATTAAGTTATTGATCTTTATTTTGGCAGTGAAGGAGCAAGATGGAATGTTTTTATTATTTTTGTACTTTTCTACCAGATCTACTTTGAAAAATTAAAGATCTATGTTACCGCTATAATTATTTTAAAAAACTAGTTTAGTGGTATAATTGTTTCATATATGTATCGTAAATGTTCTCATACAAATGTGAACAGAACTATGTTTATATATTTAATAGGTTTCAACCTCTTCTAAAATTGTGTTTACCTGGTTTATCTAATTTCATTTCCTCTTATTTCACTATAGTGTTTAAAGAAGTGTTTTTGAGAAAGAGAAGTGAAATCACAGTAGAGTAATATTTTCCTTAAAACCCTGCCAGTAGCAACATCCTAGAATACTTACTTTGCTTTTTGGAGGCTTGCATGTCAGATTTTGTGTTAGAGTAGGATATTTTTCATTTCCATAACATTTTGTATTGAACCCTATGGATATTTGAGATTATTAGAAATAGAGGTGACACACTGTAATGTATAATTTTTGCCACGTGATCATAAGAAAGTCAAAGAATTCCTTATAGATTACGTTAGCATGAAGTCCCATATAGTTATATGAATTTGGAACAACTTTGTACTAATTCTCCAAAACAGATATTCTCAAAGAGTGGTTTTGGTACCAGTCGTACCAGCATCATTGAGAACTTACTTGGCAGATAGTGTTTTTATCAGTTTTTATAAGTTTTATAAGGTGATTTTGAGTTATCTTAAAATTTGAGAACGGATTTTCTAAATGGCTAGCTATTTGGCCATTCAAGGAAAATAGTGACTATATTAATAACTGTGGGAAATATAATAGTGAAAAATCTTTATCTTGGGTTTCATAGAGACATGATATGATCTTTAATAAGTATAATGAACCATTATCATTCTGTGATATGTCTTGAGTCCTTTGCAAATCCATAAATAAATGAATAATATTATATTTAAGTTTCTTTTTAAAATTTGATAGTATCATTCTTCCTTTAGATATCTAAAGGTGGTTTCTTTCTATGGGGCAATGGTTTGAGAATAGTAAAGTTACATTGAGATGCGTTGTTGGTATGTGAGAAGCTTACTAACTTGCTGCTGCAACTCACAGCTTCCAAGAATGTGCTCTGGGGAAACAAACAAGATCCTGTTGTGGCTCTTCAAATAAGTCTTGACCAGTAAAAGTGGTGAATGTTAAAATCTTAAGTACTAAGGTCTATTATGTTTTTACATATTTATAATACACATTTAAATAAAAAGAGTGAGTAATAATGAATGAAATATTTATGAAGTGTTTATCTGGTTACATCTAGGAAGATGAGCATTATTAAAGACTAAATCCCTACCCTAAAGGAGCTTAAGAACAATTAGAAGGTGGGCCTCCCCAGTGGCGCAGCGGTTGAGCGCTGGGTTGTGAAGCTGCCCACGGCCTCTGCAGCGCCGGTTCGATCCCCGGCTGCTCCCCAGCCACTGGAGGAGGGTCCCGCATGGCGCGCAGACCTCTCCTGCCGCCCGCTGCTCCCTCAGCAGTGTACTTCGGTCCTTCTGCCTGCTCTGCTCCCTGCTTTGGCTCTGGTGAATTCTCTCACCCTCCCGCACTTCTGACTGTACCCAGTGCTTGTTTAAATAAATAAATCTTAAAAAAAAAAAAAAAAAAGAAAAAAAAAAAAGAACAATTAGAAGGTAATATTAATATGCATACAAACAGGTATAAGACAGCATAAACCAAGGACTAAATTTTGGAGTCTACACCAAAGTGCTATAGGAGTTCAGAGAAGAATGGGATCATTATAGATTGGTGTTACTAGGGAAGCTTTATGTAAAAAGTAAACTTGAGCTGGGTCACTTGTCACTTAGAGGATTTGGGTAAGAAGAAAGAATAGAGAAGGACATTTTATCCATCCATCCATGTATCTCTCCAGGAGACATTTGTTGAATACCGTGCCAAACACAATTACATGCACTGAAGAGATGTGCATTAAGAAATAGTTTATATTTTCAATTTTGATAAATGCTACAAAGGCATGAGAAGTATTATTCTAAGAGTGGAAATAAGGATAACTTTCTTAAAGAAGTGGCATTAGGGTGATTACATTATACAGATTCATAGAGACAGAAAGAGAGCAAGGAAGTAGATGGGACGGGAAGAGTCATTCTTGATAAATATTGAGATGTTCTTGATATTTATGTTTCTAAAACATCCTCTAGACATTGGATGAGGCACCATATTGGACCTGATCTCTTACAGAAATTGTTTAAGCTTGAAGGTAAACTTCAAAAACAAGTAAGCATAAAATGTGGTCCAAACAACACTTATAATTACCTTTGCTAAACTTTCATAAACTAAATATAATTGGTTGTGTGTTTCATGTCTGGCAGGATCAAGTATTTCTTAAGTTAAATTTGACATTTTGGTTTGGATGCCATCAAGAGGGTTGGATACCATTCTTGGCTTTGGACTTTGTATACTTGTTACAGAATTTATGTCACCAGATGGCACCATTTAACTAAATTTATATACTTTGTGTGTTTTATAATGCTGGTGGTTTATATACTTTGTGTGCTTTATGAGACTATATTTTATTGTTGTTACAGCTGAAATAGGAAAAAATACTTATTTCAATGGCATATGAGACTTTTATACAGAGTATGATAATGAAACCCCTAAAATGTGTTGGAGAATAAAAGGTTTTTGTGTAATAAATGAAAATTTCGTGATGATTATTATCACTGATATATGATAGCTGGCAGAAAAGCAGAATAGAATAGTTTCCTCCACTCAAGTTTTCCTACAGTCAGCATAGTAATGTTGTGAATATTTTAGTTATGAATTTAACTTTTAGATGTAGGGAGTTGACATACATAGTAAAAAAAAACAGAGAAAAATTCTAAAAGAATATTTTAGGAATAAAACCATTTAAGATATCTTGAAATATTCTGGTAATAACATTAATTTTTTTTCAGTAGATTATATGTTTTATTGAGCTGTAAAACTAGTAAATTTAATAGGACATGATATAGATGCTCTTTCTTAGCATAAACATTCATCTCAAGGAAATTAATATTTATTGCTTTCTTGGTTAAAGCTTCCTTAATAATCCCTTGCCTACTAACACATAAGCAGAATTAATCCCTTTCTTCCTTGTGTCTCTATAGTATTTGTTCATATTTCTGGTGTAGCACTTATTACATTATTTTATCCTTTAATGATTGTGAGCTTCTTGATTTCAGGGATTGAACACACTATCTGCCTTGAAATACTCTATCATTAAGTGACTTTCATTTGACAAAATATGTATTTTGAAACCCTGTTTTCTAAGAGACACTGTGTTAGGCTTCAGAAATTGGGTGATCATAGCGAAGTTTGCCTGTGGAGTCATGGTCTACTAAGGGAGACAGACATTAAACAAATTAGTAAAATTGTGATAAGTACATCGAAGTAATAATTATTTGGGTGAAATCATGAAATCATAAGGAATTACTTGAACTAGTCTAATGCATATTATTTAATTGTATTTGTTTGAAAATGTTAAGATAATATTTATTAATTTATACCTTCTTGTATTTATTTATTATTCTTGGGATGAAAACACATGTCTTACCTGGTTCCCCATAATATCTGCTGCCCTCTCTCTCCTTATCTCTCAGCATGCCTCCTTGCTCACCATATTCCAGGTACACTGCATTTCTTTCTGTTTCTAAATTCTTCCTAGGACATATTTACTTGTTTTTATTTTGAAATATCTTTCGACCCAGATCTTTGTCTTAATTGCTTATCTTACTAGGTCTC